TCTTAAAGACAATAAATCAATATTTATATTCTTTGAATTGGAAAATGCATCTGATATAATGCAATTTTCGATGTCATTGCACTCTAGATCAGAGGAGGCTTCTACTGCACAGTTACTAGACACCTTAGAGTTATTTTCATCGAGTTCTATCAAAGAAGAAGAAAGCACATCATCAAGGCACTTGTTATCATTATCCTCACTTATTTCACAATTGGCTACATAACTTAACTGAATAATTTTACAAGTCATAACTTTCGCTAAAATATTATTTAATTCACTTGCTGTGGGGTTTGAGTTATTGCCACCTTTTTGACGAAGAATTGCAAAAATATTTTCAAGACTATCTTGATTTAAACGCTTTGTCATTAAAAAATAAATTTCAGTTGAGGACTTTAAAATGTCATCTGCTAATAACAAAGCAGCTTGTAAACTGAGTTGCAGTCCTTCTAAAAAAAACACTTTCTTTGATGTATCTGCTAAAGACACCTGTTTAATATAATTTAGAAAGTATTTAATAAAATTAAAACTTTCATTTTCTAATTGGATTGCTGATCTAAAAGAATTGTCAGCATATAAAGAACAGCTATTCATACAATCAAATATTCGATCAATTTTTTGTATGAAATGTGCAGTTGCCAATGCAACTTCTATAGTGCTTTTTTTAAAACCAGATGTATCTACAACGGTTTTAAATTCTAAGTAAAATACCAAAGTAATCTTCACACGACTACGCTTAATAGAAATTCTTCTTCCCTTATACTTTTATTTGAAAATACTTTATGAATTTTTATAAATTTTGTTGTATTTAAGTGAACACGAAATTGCATTTATAAAACTTTAAACTTAAAATATGATTAATTAATTTTGTTTTTTTTTTTAAATTGAAAACAGTTAAATATTATTTGCTTATTATTATCTACGAGTATTTGTAAAGATATTATTTGATAATTTGTTTTTCCTTTAAAATACATTTATTGTTATACATATATTACAAATTGTTCAATAAAGAAAAAAACTTGAATTCTAAAATAATTAATTTGTTGTACGGTATCTTACTTCAACGGTGGAAATTACATTAGTGGAACGCTGGGTCCCCGCGAATATAAATTTTTTTGTAAGACCTTGGACTAGGCTGAGAACTACCCCGGCTAGGAAAAATTAGGTTCATTACAAATTTTACTGTTAATAAAATTTAAACATGTTTTTATTTAAAAATGGTAACAATATCCTAAGCTGTAAAAAATATAAAAAATGATAATTTTTCAATTAGTAGATATAAAATTATAAGGGTTCAAATTTCGCCAAAATTGTACGAAATCTGAATTTCGCCAAAATTTCATGAAGTTGCGAATAACATACAATAATTTACAAAATATTCTGTGCTGTTTACTTCTACACAAATGTGTTTCAGTTAAACTTGAAAATAAAAATTTCGGTTTTACAGAAAATTCTATAATGAGGAAAAAAAATGGATTGTGAACAAAAAATAAGTTTTTTGGTATTTTTGCAGACATTTATTGCTTTGATATTTTCATTAGTTGCTGTTCTTGATTTCTCAATTGTTAAATGCACCTTTCTACATAAAAATACCAACAACTGTAGTTCAGAGCGCAGAAAAGCAATACAAATTGCTTTAAAACTCATTAAGTACAAAATGCTTAAACACTCCAAACTCTCCCGCATGTTAAAGCTGAAAAATTAAAAATTGAGTCACAACGAGTCCATATGACACAAAAATAACTCAAATACTATTTCCCCGATTTCTGCGACCGATTTTTGTGAAATTGCCCTCACTTCATTTTTAAGATTTTTTGAGTGATGCACACTCTATGTGTATATACTCTTTGATTCTATTTAAATCCAGCTGTATAGTAATTTATTTTTATAAATATTATAATTTAATTTATAATAAATATTAAATACTTTGTTTTAATAAAAAGCTATAAAGTTAAAAATTGTTCCCCTATAGCTTTAAAAAACTTGAAAGTTTTTAAAGAAATTGAGCGTACTTACTTAACGTATTACCTATTTACCGTATTATTTTCCAAAAAATATCAGGAATGTGTTCAATTACTTATAATCCGAATGAAATTGTTAATGAACAACAGTGGAGAGGTGCTTTAGAGATTAAACATTTCGTCTCTTCCAAGAATGAATTGAAGGATCATATGTTTACAAAAACTATATTATTGTTAAGAATTTTAGGACACCTATTGTACTGTACATAGTTACAAACAGGACAGGTTAACTTATAATTCGTGTACATCGGAAACATAAATAGATAGCCAAATGCGCTTAATTTTTCTACTGTAATTTTATAATTATATATAGTATCTAAGCGCTATTACTAAACAACACAAATTTTCGAGAATCTTTAATATGTGATACTAAATAAAATAATAAAAAATGGTCTAATAATCGAATATAAATTGAGATATGTTTGTACACCAAAATTTAATCAACCTAGATCAAAAGTTATAGCTGTAATCTCTTTTACAAATAAACAGACTAACACCCTTCATTCAACTTCTTATCACTCTTCACAAGCACTTAAAGCTCTTTTCTCATTTACATGACTGAATAGTACCTAAACTAAAGTATAGTCCACCCTTTTTTAAAGTAACTTTTTGTTCATGGACTTTGATAGTATAGATAGTTTTTTACCACGAAAGAAGGAAACAAACTTCGCTTAGAATGTACAATTGATAAGGTAAACTAGAGTTAATATATTCTCGTATTCCTATACTATAAGTAATACCAAACATTTGTCCTGGTTTGTACTCCATTGAATCTAGAATTTGTCACAGGAAAATTATTTAATTCTTAGAGTGGTACTATTTTATATTGAGGTCTTAAGTTTAATTAATCCACAATCTGAACTAGTTTGATATCATTTGATCTACGATGGAGCCATAGTTAAAGTGATGGAACCATAAAATAATCACAAGAAAATTCTGAAAACTAAATATCAGAATTGCTTACTAATTTTTTGACATTTTTTCAAATATCCTATTCTTGTGTCAGTGGTTTTATTTTTTCCATGTATATATGTCTTTTTTCTTCCTTTTTCTCTTTTTATTAGGGAGTAGCAACCGGCTCATAATCCTCCCAGTAGTCTACTCCACACCTACTTAACTGAGAACCTTATTTGGATTTTGAAATTTTCAATAAGACTTGGTATTTCTTTATTAACTTATTAATTGCACTCTTTTAACGTTTCAATAGCTATATTTGTTGATATGGACATTTTTTCAAATGTTTAACGTTCACTAAGTTGTTCATCGATATCATTTTCTATTATATTTCCTTTTATATTGATTTTCTCATCACTGCACTTTTTTTAGTTCGCCTTTCAATGAATGTTTTCCTTTTTGAATAATAAAGCTTCAGAGCATATACCGAGAACTGATTGGATGAAGCTTAAACGTACTATACCACAAATAATCCAACCAGAAATGTAGCGTTCATAATTAGATGTACATTCACGCAACTGTGACTAGAGAATAATTTAAGACGCCGTCTTTTGAGACTGTCGCCATATGTTGAACCCATAAACAATAACAAAGAACTTAGCATAAAATATAAACATGAGGACGCTATAAACGCATTAATATGCTGCTGACCGCACTTTTGGAACTTTCCGATAAGAACACAAAAATCATTACCTATAGAAATAATAAAAATGCAAAAACATGAACGTATCATACCAATTACCAAGAAAAATATCTTTGACTGCTAAGAGCGCACCTTTTGTGCGATGTTACATGTCACAAAGCAAGCGCATACCACATTTAACCGACTACTGATCATTTTTTAAAATGTTTTAAACTTAATGACCAGAAGGCAAACACACCCACTACTCGCATTTGTGGCATTTACATCGGTTAATTTAAGCAAAATTTCATTTTAATGCGAATTGCAAACAAATATCATCTATTTTTTATATATAGAACTACATAGAACTACAAAATATTAAAAACATATAAATTAAAGAGGATATATATATGAATAATTTTAATTCGATATTTTTGTAATAGGATAAAAAGAAATAGTCCCACAAACCATTTTTGATCAACTTAATCAGTTCGTCTTATTTAAAAAAAACGAGCAAAATATTACAAGATATACTCAGGTGTCTCTACGTTGAATACAAACAAATAAGATCAATAGGGAAAACTCTATGGTAGAACTAACCTAGTGTAGTCCTTCACAATATAACTATGTATTGTTTGTTTGAAACTACTGTTGTTGAGAATCTGATTTGATGCCACCAAAATACTGCAAGAAACTAGCCCTTGACCTGGTTGCGTTATTCTATTGCAAAGTGTGATCATGCAATAAAACTAGACTGATAGAAACTAGAATCTGTGAGCGAACTCATCTGCTTCTATTTGTATTAGAAGATTCACTGATGGGAATCAAGACAAAATCTGAAGACTATTGTGGTGTGACAATTGCTTCCTTCTTAAAGAAGGATATTAGTGTACATAAATCATTAAAGTGTCCGGTACAATAGATAGGATCTTTAATAAAACTGGAAAAATTAAAACAACAAAATTATCAAAACTGTAATCTATTGTAAATCATCTAATAAATTACTTTAGATACCATTAAGAGAAGTACCGTTTTCTACAAATTTGAAACTAAATTGAAATTAAAATAGCAAATTACTATGTTTTTATCAAAGCGAGCTGGATTAGTAAAATCACAATCGTAAAAATATATATAAATGTATATAAAAATAATCCTATTTCAATAATAAAGTAATTATGAATGTTAACATAAATTATATAAATAGGTTTTAAATTAAAAAAATTAACAATCGTCATTATAATATTATTTTATTGCACGAAATTTATTATCTACCAGTCTAATATTATATTATACCAGTTTTATACCAATTTCATTGAAATCACCATATTGCCACTGTGCAACACTGTTCGCGCAGCTGTTGTCACTTTCTCTATCACTTTGACAGTTCACTGCTTTAGTGATAAGAATTGTAAACTGTGAATTGTTTGGTGTGTACAATTTTTGCCGATTGGCAATAGGGTTTATGCGCTTTAATAAAGAATTTTGCAATATAAACATTTACATCATTTAAATTGTTTACATTTGTGAAATATACAAATTGTTTCAGTAAGTTTTTAGTTATGGCCGAAGGAGTCACTGAAACAGAATGTGAAGAGCGAAAATATTTGCGGGAATTAATATTAAATGTGCACGAACCTGTTGTTTTACGCAATTTCAAACATAATTGGAAAGCATTTGATTGCAGCTTTCTTGAGTGGTGTCAAAAGTTTGATGCGGCCACTGGAGGAGATCAGCAAACATTCAGTTGCATGACACATCGCGATGCTACGCCGCAATGGGAACGCAACTATGAACTTATAAAGATCACAGCCGAAAATTTCGCAAACACTTTTCTTACGGAACAGAAATTTTGGGCTGCACTTATGTACAAAAGAGCAAACGAATTGCCAAGCGTTTGCACAGAAGGTGTCAATTTCGAATGCTTTGGTTTTCCAAAGTCCAGTGGCGACGTAAATTTATGGTTGTGTTCGCCTGGTGCAAACACACCATGCCATTATGATACTTATGGCTGTAACATTGTTGTACAAGTTTATGGCAGGTAAATATAAATAAATTTATTATATTTGACTGCAAATTTACAGCTTCTAGTTGTTAAAGTACTTAGTGATTGCCCTTATTTAAGGGTAGAGATGGTATTGTTTCGTGATAAACTGGAAAGCAGAACTAGGGTTAATAAAGCACTCTATGGGGTGGGTTTAAATGATATGGATTAGTTGTTTTTTCTTTCATTACAATGCAATCATTTTGATTTCGATATCGAATTAGTCCAAAATGGAACTTTGTGTAGATTTTGTACCAGAATGGATATCAAGCTCTTTCCAGTCCATTTTTCAAATTATTCTCATATTATTTTAAAAGAGATATTTTTGCAGTCTATTAGTTGCTTAAGACCTTTATGATATTTTAGTACATCACTTTATAAGAAACAAAACAGTTCCATAGAACGACTTAATAATCTTAAACATATATTTAGCTCATTTGAAGAAATATCAAATCTCTAGTGAATATATGATTTGTCTACTTCAATATATGATAAGAAGTAATAATTAAATGAACCTATATCTTTTTCTGCAGTAATCAATGATCCGGTTAACATATTATATTAAAATGATACGATGATAGTTATCGGACCAATGCAAGAAACGATTACATGGTTTAAAAAGATTTTGGAATAATTGACTTGATATAAAGAAGACTTCTTTTCAAACAATCGATTTCACTGTTACAAAATAGCAACCTTCAGATATAACATAAGATTCTCTCACATCTAATTAACAATATAAAGAGATCTCTTTCTAAAATGTATCCTAGGTATCGCTTATGTGAGTTAAGCGCAATTGCTGACTTTACAGTAATCGATGAAGCGATTGACTAAATAAATCAATAAATCAAAATTTTATAAGTTTAATAGTTTTTGAGACAATTTACGTCTTCCTCTCATTTAATGCCTTTTTCTAGGTTGCGACTGTAAGAAAACTGAATTTCACCTCGTGCGTTAATGCCGATTATTTGCTAAGTGAAACTTGAAAATATTTAGGTTCCTTTTCTAACTAAAGTACAGAACTGCCAAAGAAGAAATTGTCAAGTTTTTTAACTTCTTATATTGATTCCATATTACTTTAATGAAAAGTATTGCACCTTATCAAAGAGATGTAACTCACTCACTAAATGTTTCGAACTTCTACCTGTCAGCTTATACTTAAGGGCTGGCGTTCAAACTAATCCATGGTATCAAAACAGATCATTATTTGCGCTCAGTGTTCCACGTGCGCCCTACGTCCCGAAACTACCCGTCATCAGAAACGAATAAGCGTCCTTCTCCCCTCCAAAAAAAAAAAATCGATCAACTTAAACGTTTATAAGATATAACAAATATAAACAAATTGCTTATTAACGATAATAAATATATATTTTTATTTTTGATAGCAAATCTTGGTTACTCTTCCCACCGAATACTCCACTAACATCTACACGTATACCATATGAGGAATCAAGTGTTTATTGTACAGAAAACTTTCACTCTCCAGATTTGCGAAATATCTCACAATTTAAAAAACTCGAAAGTTATGCACATAGATGTATTTTGAATCCAGGAGATGTACTTATAGTTCCACATCATTGGTGGCATTATGCAGAAGCAGTTGAAACCTGCTTGAGCGTGAACTATTGGGTTTCACTTAAAAAGGACATAGAAATACAACTTGAAGAAGCTATAGTCAAATATATCATGGAAAGTTCTGTTAAGGACATGTTTTTACCGGAAGCACAATATATATTTAATCCAAATCAGGTAAAAACTTACAAAAAGTATTTTGCTTTTAATATATTCATATTTGATTAATCCTAAGATATCAGAGACAATAGAACAGGATATATTATGGAATAAAATGAAATGGTTATTAGATAAAGCTTCGGCTTTAGATGATAACAATAGCAGTCAAGAGAATGAAACTTATCACAATTATCAATATTTACCACAATCCGAAATTGATCAATATTCAGAAAAAGGTTTAAATGTATATAAAGTGCCAACAATGACAGATGGAGCGTTCATGGACTTAATATCAGAGAACGCTAAGCGCTTCGACATGCAGTTTGCGGACGAAAGTGACTCACCGTTACATACGATTAAAGAAATTATGCTTAATAGCATATGCAGTGCAAATGTGATAAAAGTAATAAAACTTGAATTTTATAGACGCTATGCAGCTGAGTTGCTCAATTAAGATTCCAACTTATTACTTTAGTTTAGTTTTAAATGATTGATTATGTAAAATTATATACATACTATATATGTGAATATGCATTTATTTAAATTTCATTCATCATAATTTCAATAATTCAATATATAATTTTCTTAACAAAATACTTGCAAATTGCTTTACATTCGACAATACACAATACAATTTTATATTTGTAACAACAAAATTTATTTAAATTAATACCAAATAATTTTAAAAGTTTTTAACCACAATTCAATTAACATAACAGATTATTAATTCTTATATTTAAATGCTTTCATATCTCAACATAATCACGTGCATTTTTGATATATAAATTTATATATATAATTTATAGTTAATTTAATGTTATATATAAAATTGTTTAAAAAATAAAAATAATTACTTTCGTGAGAAAAAAAAGCTTTCGATAATTGTATTCAGAAATTAGTTTACCAGCCTGGTGGTTTCTGGTTAGGATAACCACCTTGTTGATGTGCAAAACTGCCGGGGTATGTACCATAATGTCCCGGTTGCGGTCCTTGTGGGAAACCACTGTATTGGTAAGCAGCTGAAATATGATATTTTTAAATAACCAAAATTTATATAAAAATATACTATGATTTATACACTTACATCCTGGATAAGGAAGCGTAGCATATGGATTAAAGCCTTGCGGCATTGGTGGTGGCGCATAAGCAGGATACGGCATATTTGGTGCTGCTCCATATGGTACTGGCATGCCTTGCATTTGTTGTGGATATGGCATATTTGTTGAAGCCGCAGTAGGGGCAGCAGGTACTGGAGATGGCGCAATAGTTGGTGCTGTTATATCTGTAAGTCACAAGAAAATTATTCATACTTATTTTATTAAATAGCGAATTTAAGAAAAATAATTACCACTTCCACTGCCTGATGTTGAAGCATAATGGGATGGTAGTGTGGGTGTTGGTCCTGGTGCTTGTCTGCTCGACTCTGTTGTCAAATCTTTAAGCAATTCCTCCTTTTCAGTTTTACGTGCAAAGCAGAAGTCGGAAATCTTATTTTGAAATACAACCAATAACTGCGTTAAATCATTATAAAACTTAGTGCCTTCTTTAAGATTGCCTAATAACTCTATAAAGCTATCATAAGCTGTAGCTAATTCTTGATACAGTTTATCGCGTGAACTACCGCAATTACCAGTTTCACTGATAAATTCATTATGTCCTTGTTGTACATCAGCAATTATTGTTTGTTGTCGTTCAATACTTTCCTTTACTTGTGCTTGCAATGGATTTAATACTTCACCAATGCGCATAAGAGATAGCGCTGGTTCATCTATTGCACCATCCTTTTGTAATGCTTGCAGAAATTGATGTTTCATATCGAACGTCGCACCTTTAAGTTCTGACTCGATAGCATCACGTTCTGCTTTTATTGTTTCCACAGATTCCATTAATGCTCTTAATTTTTGCACACTTGGACAATTAGGATCGACGGTGCCATTAGCACTCGGTACCGCTTGATTTATTTGTTCTGGTGAGAGTGATAATAAGCTTATACCCTTTGAACAAATGTTGAGTAAAAAGAATAATCAATCACTATTTTAAAATAATTTTATTATATATTTACCTTTTGATTGGCTTCAAATTTCTGCCGCACAACTTTGTCTGCTTCAATAGCATTGAATATCACTTCACGATATTTCTTTGCATTAGTCCGGAACATTTCAGTTAATTTATCTGATGAGATTCTAGACCAACGTTCATTAAACTGTGCACGCAATTGATTATCAGAATCACGTTCCTCATCTAGCATACGTTCTGTTTCATCCAATATTTCTTTATTACGGTTAAGCAACTCTGGTAACTCTTTAAGCAATGACTGCACACCATCAATACCACCTTTTTCGCGCACATCACGTGCTTTATCCAGCAAAGAAGGTGGTAATCTACTGCTGCCATCGGTTATTTCTATAGCTGCTGGCAAATTTAAACTTGCCAATACCGCATTTAATGTCTGCGTTGCCTCACGTAATTTCATTACTTCGGCATTGACAATTTCATTCTTGCGCGTATCAGAAGCCATTATAGCATTGTGTAGTTCAACAGGCACCAAATTATCAAATTTATCTTTAAAGTTAGTAGACATAGGCGATGCTAATGGCAATGCCTTGGCCAATTGTGCTTTGCCTGGTGCAGCCAAAGTACTTATGTCCGGTATCATTTCATTATAAATGAACTCATTATCTTTTGTAGATTCTGCTAGGTTCCGTTTAGCACGGTTAAAATATTCATCCAAGTATGTTGCGTTGCCAGAACGTGTTTGAGCTGCTTTGAATAGATCAACTGCAGACCGTAAGCGCGCAATTTCTTCTCCAATCTTTTTAGAGGCGCGACAGACCAAACTCTGATAGAGCTGCGTCAGCGCGTGACAACCAGCCTGCTTACCAGCCACAGTTGGTATCCATTCTTTATCCCATAAGCTACGCACAGATTCTTTTTGCATGGCACGTAGAACATCAGCATAGAATTCTTCAGCCTGGCAGCAGAGTTTTGCAATGATTTGATCTTTCATATTATCTGTTAAAAGTAAAAATGACACAAATTTAATTAAAATATGCAATAATTAATTAAAAATAATTAAATCAGACTTTTACCTTTGATTGCTTTCAGTATAACAACTTCCTGCGCTTGTGCAATCATTAAAGCTTGCAGCACAGTCAACATGTCTTGCGTTAAATCTGGAGTGGGTTCCGAAGGAATGGCAGCTGGTGTAGCACCTTTCAAATACTGGAATATACCTGCACTTTGCTGTAATAGTTTCAATGCCATTTTCAAGCCATCATCACAATCTAACGATTGTGCAGCCGCTACATTACTTTGCAGTGCCGCTATGTTGAAGAGTACACATACCTTCTCGTACAAAAGTGAAGTGTGTGCTGTTTAAAAATAAGATAATAATTATAATTAGTTATCTAAAAGTTAGATAAGATTTATTTAATGGTATATTGCACATATATATATTAATATAAATACATATAATATCATATACAAGTCAAAACTGGAACAGAGTGAATGCGAATTGAAACGAATGCCTCCGTATTTACATTGATATCTACCATATTCGAAGTGGGAGTGTATTTTCTGAAAAACTTAGCTTACGTTCCTTCCAACTACATGATCATTGTAGTGTTTTACAAACACGGTTTACTGTCATTAATCTCGTTATCAAATAAATTCATCGCAATGAAATCTTTGGCAGGAACATTTACATTTTCAGTGATAACCAAAAAACCAATGTTCTCCTAATATCTAGGCTAATATCGGAATTTATTGGAACTTTCAATGAGGGGTCGCTAAACTTATTGGTTAAACTGCAATGTAGGGGCGATGAACTTGTCAGGAATGGTACATAATTTTCGATATCATCAAATCCAGTAGATGTAGGTGGTCCTTACTATCACTTAAAATGGCTATATTAACATTAAATATTTTAAAATGGTACTGTCGTACTTGTGCCTTGAAGATGGAAGAAGAGAGTTCTTACTCATCTAGAAGATATTACCGGTTAATCAAAATTACAAGTGGTTTCACAATACTAATGTGGTTTCTATTAAAATAACCAATTCGTCTTCAAAATTATGACAACACAATAAGTCAATATAATAGATGTTAATGAGCTGCGACTTCTTGTAAGAAAGGCTAACACCAATATCTTCTATATGCCATATTATATGTATAGATATATTAACAATACTTTTGACTATTGAATTCAAATCTGTAGTTCGTTATCTTTCAGATATCTGGGTCTTTGAGAATAATTGGTTAAAATTTAAAAATTGAGGTTTTAAGAGGTAAACAAACATTTTTCGTGTCTTTAGAAAATTTGCAACAAACAAAATGATAAACATTTTCTCCTTAGGCTACCATCAACAAATTTCTCTTCTTTTCTCTTAAGGGAGAGATTTTTCATATCGTCTACAAAGACTTATTGATGCTCACCAATTTCCGTTGAAGTTTATTGTGTCCAAGAAAAACGAACCAGATATGTTTGAAAGATGACTCAATGTAATTAGTGTCTTTATTTTGATCTATTCTGAAGTATTTGGAATGAGAGTTTGGTATTAGTAATACGATATCTTGAATGTTGCCTTTTAATTACATATGTTTTTCAAAACATATTTTAATATTTATATCTTATAAGTTCATAAAGACTAACTAAAAAGAAAAACATATTCCATAGTATTGACTTAATTTTTTATTTATATATACGATTGACAGGTTTATTTTTTATTAGTATTTTATATTAATTATATATTATTCTTATTACTAGTTGATTGATAAACAATAAGCAATGCTATGAGCTGTAAAACCACCTGAATAACTTATTATCATAATGCACTGAAGATCTTGTTACAGTGGATCACTCAAGTCGTCACAGACACTATTAAGTAAAAGTGCTTTAGACACTAAATCGTGTTTCATCAAGCAAAGTCGAAGAGCTATAAGCTACTTAAATATATTAATTAGTGAATTCATACTGCTTATATAAAATCTAAATTGAAAAACATATTTAGTAATGAATTCATTCAGAAAGATGTCAATTTTTATACTAAATAAATTATTTACTAATCATTAATCAGTGAATATTTTTTTCAACTAGAAAATAACTACTTTTAGTTAGGGATATGGTCTGGGTAGTATTTAGAACCCAATGTTAACATTATAGAGAACTGCAAGGTATTTATTACCAACCGCATCTCCACGTCTTTACTCTTTTAAACTCTTCTTTTTAAATATTTAATAAAAATATTTTAATTTTCAGTTCAAAGACTTCACTTTTATTAATATTTAAGTGTATGCCCTTTGGAATTAAGCTTAATTAGAGTGAACACTTAATTGACTCATTGAATGCTTCAATTTTAATTCTGCAATAGCTCTTGAGACAGACTTTAACTCTGTATTATGATACCACATAACTATTTTTAATATTTCTGAATTTATTACTTCCTATACATACATACTCGAAGTATGTATATGTACATATATTAATATGTATTAATAATTGTAATAATGTTATTTAATTAATTTCAAAATATAAGCAAAATCTTAATTAGTTGATTTTAAATATTGACAGTTAAAATTTTAATTATTATAAAATAATAAACTCCAATTATATGCATATTACGTTCATCGATAGTTTGTATACGTGTGTATCCATCCACATATGGATGACTATATATAAGCTAACTTCCACTATCAGAAACACGCATCGCATACCGAATAATTGAAGCTCTTTTGTTACTTGTACGCTTCAGTTCGTGAGAAGAAGAAGCGTGAACAGTTGAAATAATTTAATAAGTAAAAAAATAATAACAATAATAAATTATTTACGCATGCAAACATTGTTATAATTTCAGTTAAACCCGCACAGTCAATTACGACATCTTCCATTTTAGGCGCACAGATCGTAACCAGTTTCTTCACTCATTAACCCAAACATTAGAAAATATGATTTGAGATATTTTTTTAGTTGACTGAAACCGGCTTTTATGTTTAATAACAATAATAATAATGGATTTACAAAAACAAAAACTGGTTAACATAAAAAGCCGCTTTAAATAAGAAAATTTAAAGTAACAGATTATAAGCTGAAGATTGTGGAAGAGGAAGAGGAAGAGAATTTAGTTAAGAAAATGAACATTTCTTGATTTTTTTTTTGTTAAAACTCTCAATATTGGTATAGGATGTGTCATAGAATAGATTTGACTAACCTATGAAAATATGAATGAATATATAGTATTAGTACTGAAATGGAATGTTATATGAACAAAATACAGTAAAGATAATAAATAAAACAACTGTAAAAATAAAGACTGAACAATATTGTAAAGTATTTAATTTATTGTTTATTATTTAGAACTAAATTAGTAAATAGATTCCAGTATAAGTAACCATATTATGTTTTCAAGAGTAGTTATAATATTGCTCCGCTTTGAGAAAGAAGACAAACAAACTTCGAAACATCGACGATGTTTATATAGACTACTATTATAGTTTATAATAAAAACTAATTTAGGTATAAGCTTTAGTTTATCTAATTCACATAAGCCTTTTCTAAAGCAGATATTTAAAAAATTGAATTTACAACTACTAAAGCATTCCATATATATGTTATTTAATGCAATGGACAATATTGTATTATATATATAAAAACTAA